AGGCTTCATGCGGAAAATGCATTTTTGCCCTCAACAAAATAAATGTTTTATTTCAGAATGAAGAAAAAGAATCTCTGCTAAAACTAGATGAATGTATCAAACACAATCCACTGCATGTATTTCGTACATCTATCGCCGAGCCATTATTACAACTTAGCTGCTCAGATCAGGTGAGGGTAGAAATGCCATTTTTAAGGCTAATCAGAAGATGGGGAGTTTGGCATAGGGCGGTCACTAATTTGCTGCTTTCAGGGCTGTTTGGTGATAGCCGTTGATGGTGTGGACGAAGCTGAATTTCATAGAAGCGAGGATGGTCGATCAATAGGTATGTTTCCCAGACTTCTGCCGAAAGGTATCAATGAGTCAGTAATATTGCCATGCTAGATGTGCGAGGGAGCATAACCTCATACATCTTCAGTGTACAGAAGTTTCGCTGCGGTGCTGACAATGTTTGCGCGCGAGAAAATGACCATCAAGCGCACATTGTCAGATTTTACGAACCATGGCCATTTTTTGCGCACAGGTGTTCTCAGCCACACGAAAACCTAATGAAGGAGTGCTTGGGGAAAGATCTGAGCTCTCCATAATACTATAGTTTAAAAATACTGAAAGGATCCCAACATTGATCCTAGTTCTGCCTTCACCCCTCCATATTGTTCTGCAATCCAAGATACCCAATCTTTGATCGACGCTTCAGAAAGCTCTCCTATTTTGGAAACGAGGCGCGGTTTTTGCGCATTATCTACAAAACCAAAGTCGTGATTAGGATGCGAATGACAGAAATATGAAAATCAAGTACATAGGTGGGAGCCGCTTTTCATAACGGTGTGGGTGAATTTTTGAATCTGCATTGAAGAGATTGCAATAATTTTTTTAACTCTATACTGAAGTCAGACTTAACAATCGAGCTAATTCCTTTCCAGCCACGTTTATCTGCAATCTTGTCGCACATCTTCCACCCTGGGTACGCTTTATTGTTTCTTGTAATGCCGACACTTCACTTTTATTCGATGAAATAATGACGAGGAGAATTCGAATAGGTGAGCAAAAATAAAATAAATTCAAACACACTAGAACTTTACATTATTGACTATTTTTTCAGATGATATCGCTCTAGACGAACGAGTAGTCAGAGATAGTCGAATGCTCATCGAATATCGTCTTTCAATGGTCCCTGAGGTAAGCTCCATAAACTTTCATCAATTTTTCTATCAAATTTGGGGAGTGGTACAGATGGTGACGGATTTGAAATTCGCGCTAAAAATAGACGCCCCGCTTCGGCACTGTTTGGAAAATAAGTGTTGACCAGACAGGTTTCAACTCGTTATGGCGATGAGGCCCGAGATAGGCGGGGCTTAGAGTAGCTTGCGTTTTATAAGTATTTTGGACTGTACACCCGCTTCAGGAGTGTTTCATCTTCTTTTCTGCGAATGATATGAATTGATATCTAGTCTAAGTTGATGTCAATTAGAAAACTTTTATATTCAGCTCGACCATCACTTACTGACAAATGCTCGCCGATCGATAATTGATCCATTTGGAGATCTAATCGATCGAGTAGTCTATGCTGCAAGTGGCAATTTGCTCTACATTCGAGCGCTTATCCGGTAAGTA